GGGCTGGGAGCCAGTGCTGGCGAGAGACGAGGGGGCAGCGGAGATGAGCAGCCTGCTTGGGGCTCCATTGCGCATTCAGGAGGGAGCCGAGTTCAGTAACGAGTTCATTAGGACGTGTCAGTCTTCCGGAGGCCATAGATACAGTGCTGAGGGGCCCCGAGCCGAGGCACAAAGGCCCAGGGGTGGGGCAGTTTGCCGTCTGGTGCCGTTTCAGCTAATCTCAAGCTGAGTCTGGAGTAGTTTCTTGTGACCCTAGACCAGGGTGAGCAATCATTTTTTACTGGGGGACACTTGAGAAATTGGGGGTGGGGCCCCAAGCGGAAGGGAGTTGATCAGACCCACAGAGATCCTACTGCTCCCTCATCCCAAGGCCAATCAGGGCTTAGGGACGGGAAACATGTGGCAGTTGACTCTAAGCCCTATGTGCTCGAGGGCAGGGAGCGAGAGACTTCACAGTCTCCCCTGCCCCCAGGCCAATCAGGGATTGGGGGGGGGGCGCGTGAAGTCTCCTTCTGCCTTGCCAGCAGCATGTGATGCCTCTAAGCACCGCACGCTCATCGCAGGGCGAGGAAACTTTGTGCACTTCCCCTGCCCCCAGACCCTAATTGGCCTGTGGGCGGGGGAGTGGCAGGGCCTCCGCAGGCCGGATCCAGCCCATGAAGGCCCTTTGGCTCATCCCTCCCCTAGGCTGAGTTAGGGGCAGTTTCAAGTGATGCCACGTTCGGGTGTGGTTTCAAGGGTCCCCGCGCTGAGTGATAGTGATGTTTCAAGTGGCCCCCGCACTCCAGGTGGGACCTGCTGTTTGAGCAGAGACTTACTCTGAAGGTGGGGGCTCATTTGAAGCTCCAGGAGCACGACCCCCTTAACAAAGCTGAGAAAAGGCAGAGGAGGGGCCACAAAAGGTTTGGGGAAGGAGATAACCGGAAGGGGACGCTGTATGAATTGGAGCAGAGTGCGAATGAAATGGCGGGTTCCTTCCAGAACCCTTCCGCCTGCCCGCTCTGGGGGTGGCCGAAGCAGAGAGCCCAGGAAGCCCGCCAGGCAGCAGTGCGGATGGCTGAGAAGCTGCTAGTGGAATGTCAGGTGCAGCAAAAGCAAGACGCGTCCGTGTCGGTAAAGCCAGTGGCCTCGGCTTGCTCGGGGTTGTTTGGACTCTCTTGCCACGTGATCGTCAGCTCCAGGCCAGAGGGTCTAAGTGAAGCATTGGGGCTGTTGCGCTTGGAAGAGTCATTTCCAAATGCTGACGTTTGCCTCCCACCCGGAGGCCCGGCCGGCCCAGGCTTCGACTGGCTCCACACGGCAGGGCTTTGGCTCCCCTCCCTGTGCTCTTAGTCCCTGGGGCACCCCAGCTGGGGGATTAGTCACTTCAGGCACCTTGGCACAGCCTCACCCCAGCTACCAGGCAGGCGTCTGGCCTGTGCTCACGAACCGTTCCACCTCCTCCATCCCCGGGGGCCTCGCCTGCCTCAGCCTGGGCCTTCAATGGACGTTTCTCCACCTCCCTTCGGCCAGAAACGGAGGGCAGATGCTCAGGGGCTCCGGGAAGGAGGCCTGAGAAAATGGAGAGGCAGGAAGGAGAATGAGCTCGAAGGGCTTCCCGAGCACGTTGCTGGCCTGGCGGCTCTCCACGCAGGTACCCAAGTGCAGATCAATATTCCAGGCTGACCCAGATAAGGCAGCGCAGGCTCCAGGCAGGCCGCACACATCCCGCTCGCGTCGCCTGCGCCGAGCACGCCCTTGTTACGTCTCCTCAGAGGCCTTGTCGGCCCGGGGGAGGTAAGGGGGGGTCACACTGAGGTAGCTCCACCCAGGTCAGCCCGTAGTGCAGACGTGCTGCAGCAGAGCAAACAGCGACGCCGGGTTCCCGCTCAGACACCCCAGGGCAAGCCTGCGGTGAGGCTGGCTCCCCCTGGACCCGGGTGAGGGGAACACATCTCTGCGCCCTGGTGGGCGGAGCCAGGTCACACTCGCCCCGCCCCCTGGGAACTAAGAGGCAGGACTGGAAGTATAAAGGGTGAAGCAGGAGGCTCAGCTGGGGCCCAGCCACTGGAGGAGGCAGGAACATCCTCCGAGCTCCCACACTGGGAGGCAGCAGCAGACCTGGAAGAAGCTGACACGTGGCCCAGATTGCCCGGACCCGGGCTGCCCCATCCACCAGGAACCCCCTCCAGCGACAGGCACAATCGGGAGGGCGGGAATGCGGAAGCGGCCCTGGGACTGTCGACCCCGTTTAGCTGCAATGCTGAGCGAGGAGGCCTGGATCCCGCTGACTCGGTGCTGGAGTCCGGGGACAGGACGCTGTGGAGCGGGCCAGCCTGCGTCCCCCACCACTCAACCCGGGGGGCTGTCTCCCCCTCCCTCGGCTGTCTGACTCGGCTGAGTGTTAGCAAATTGCCTGATTGCCACTCAGCCAGAGCACAGGCACCCTGGGGCCGTCCTGACCCCCAGGAGATGGGCACCCAGTATTATAGCGGGTGTTTGGGAGGTGCTGCAGTGGGCGATATGTTGGAACAGACTCATTTCCAGAGCCCCGCACGTTTTCGGGGCCAACAGCTTCCAACACAGCTGGGTTGCTGCATCCTCATTCCTGGTTTAAATCTGGAGCAGCCCACTCATAGGGTTGCCAGATGGTTTAACCAAAAATACGCCCCCCCCTCCAAAAAAACCACTGGGGAAAAAATTCTGTTGAGGAAAAAAAAGGGGGAGACCAAAGTTGTTGAGCAAAAAGGACCCTGAGAGTTACTAAGCAAAAAAATAACAAAACTAAAAAATGTAAAAAACCAGCATGGCCCCTTTAAGAAATGCTTTTGAGGCTTTTTGGCCCTATCGGCTGTTCGCCATCTTGTCTTCCTGCTCCGGGCCAGACAGCTCCCCTGCAGAACCAGGTAAGCACCCGGGATTTTCGCCTCCTGGCCGGGAAAAAATCAGGAAATACCAGACATTTTAGGTGTCCGGTATTTTCTGAATTTTTTTTACCGGACAGGAGGCGAAAATCCCGGACTGTCCGGGTCGATACCGGACCCCTGGCACCCGACCCACTCACACGTGGTGTAAACCCGCTGTCTGCGGAAGCAGAGCTGGGCCCATTGCTGCATCTGCTTGTGCATGCTGGGTCCCTGCAGGCAGCGCTGGGAGCTCATGCGCCCGGGCGGGCTCCGCATGTCCAGAGGCGAGGGGCGTGCAGCCCTCCCCCTGACCTGCTGGGATTTGGCCCAGTGGGTGCAGGAGACACCTCAAAGCTGCCTGAGTGACACCTGCCGGGGGGCTGGGGCATTGCCTGAGGCCCCTTGCAAGCCCCTCTGCGGCGGCTCAGGGCATTTCTGAGTCCCCCCCCCCCTCTCTTCGCAGTACGCGGTGTGGCTGGTGCTGTGGGTCGGATGGAACGCCTTCATCATCTGCTTTTACCTGGAAGTTGGACACCTGTCACAGGTAATAGCTCCGCAGTGGCACCGAGCCCCGGGCCAGCCCGGCCGCCCTGCCTGTCGGGTTTTACACCCTTCCTGTTACTGCTCTTCTCCATGCAGAGCTGGAGGCAAAACGCCGCGTTTATTAAGAACACACACACACACACCACCCCTACCCATTGACATTATATTTACCAGTCCATGGCCCATACACACGCATGCACATGCACACGCGCACACAAGCACACACACACACCCTACCAATCGACATTATATTTACCAGTGCATGGTCCATATCTCTCTGGTGGCCTTCCTACCTTCCTTCCTCCCTCCATTCATCCTTCCTTCCTTCTTTCCTTCCTACCTCCCTCCTTCCTTTCTCTCTCCCTCCTTCCTCCCTCCATTCATCCTCACAGACTCTTAGACTTCAAGGTCAGAAGGGACCATTATGATCATCTAGTCTGACCCCCTGCACAGTGCAGGCCACAGAATCTCACCCACCCCTCTTAGAATAATCCTCTCACCTATGTCTCAGATATTGAAGCCTTCAAATACTTTGAAGGACCCAAGATGCAGAGAGTCCTTCAGCTGTGATCTGTGCCCCATGCTACAGAGGAAGGCGAAAAACCTCCAGGGCCTCTGCCAATCTACCCTGGAGGAAAATTCCTTCCCGACCCCAAATATGGCGATCAGCTAAACCCTGAGCATGTGGGCAAGACTCATCAGCCAGACACCCAGAAAGTTCCCTATAGTAACTCCTATCATCCCTCCATTGACCTATTTCCAACTGATAATGAATGGTCAATTAGTTACCAAGATCATGTTATCTCATCAACCCATCCCCTTCATAAACCCATCTAGTTTAATCTTGAAGCCAGATAGATCTTTTGCCCCCACTACTTCCCTTGGAAGGCCGTTCCAGAACCTCACTCCTCTAATAGCTAATCCTTCCTTCTTTCCTTCCGTCCTCCCCCCATCCCTCATTCCTTCCTTCCTCTCTCCTTCCCTCCCTCCCTCCATTCTGCTTTCCTTCCTCCCTCCCTCCCTCCCTCCCTCCCTCTGTCCTTCTTTCCTCCCTCCCTCCATTCTTCTCTCCCTACCTCCCTCCCTCCTTCGCACTGCTGAGGCTGATGAGCTAACAGCCTGGCTTGCAGAAGTCAGAGGGGCTTAGTGCTTCCCCAAATGCAGCTCAGGTGCTGTTCAAAGGATCAACACACTCAAGACCTCGTGTCCGGCCTAGGCCATGGGCTCCTGTGTGACCTTGGGAAGTCCTGTACTCTGCCCTGTGCCTTGGGTCCCTGGCTGTGAGGGGGGATGACACTTCCCTACCACTCGGCAGTGCTGGGAGGCTACAGTTCAGTTGCTGGTAGTGATGTGTTCAGACTCTGTGGGATAAGGGTTTCGCTATGCCTCAGTTGTCACCTGCGACGTCACCTGGCCTCCTCACACACAGCTCTGCTGGTGCCCTCGGAGCACTGCCGGCTGTCCCAGTCCTCAGCTGCGGCTGGTCAGACAGTGCCCGTGGAAGTGACAGACCCAAGGCGGGTGGGGAGATACCCTGAGACAAGCACTCGAACTCCAGAGCCCTTCGTCAGGTCTGGGGAAACTAGAGAGTTCGGTGGCACTCCAGCAACTGTCTCTTTTACCAGCTGTAGCTGGTGCAATAAAAGGTATTTCCACAGCCACCCACCTCTCTCATGTCCTGGGGCCAGCTCAGCTCCAACGATGCTGCACCCAACAGCTGGAAAATGGGGGGTCAGTTCACTTGAAACATTTTGTGGGAATGAAGCGATTTTGTCCAATGTTTTTGTGGGAACAAAAAGTTGCATTTCAGTAAGGTCAAAATGTTTTGTCGCGTGTAGCCTGTAAGCCTATATTTTCCCCTAAAACCCGCCAGCAGCTTGCATATGTTTAACTGTTTTAGCAGTAATGCAAGGGGCCTGCAGAAATCTTACTTCTGTAAGAAATTAGCTTTAGCAATAGAGTAGGTTATAAGTAAGAATTATGGAATACAGTGTTAAGATCTAGCTGATTAATGTGTGTGGAAATTTCCAGTCTTGTAGATGGGGCCGAGTCAAAACCCCTAAGGGGGCTAGTGCACTAGCCTAGAGTAAAAGTATAGATTAGACATCCTGCCATTTTGTAACAAGGTCAGAGACCCCAAAACCATATCTCTCTGGCCAAGAGAGTCGAGCAGACAACATCTGGTCATTTTTAGAACTTTCAGCATCTTGCCCATTTTGGGTTTTAGATGTGTTCTCGCCGGTCGAATGTGTGCACCCTCCAAATCTTAAGGTAAAAATGCCTATAAGATGCTTCAAATGCTCTGCCCAGGGCTGACAATTTCCCCTATCTTTCCTTGCCTTTCATACTTCATTATACTAATATACTTGTACTCTCTGCTACTGTACCTTCTTATCTCTCACCGAGACCCCTCTCCATCTGCGGAGTGAGACTGGTTCCTTCATCTCCCGAGAGTCTCCAGGAGGGTGTAGGTATAGTGTAATGCTAGATAATTGTAATTGAATACTCGGGGTTGGGGATCCCTGTAAGCTGTGAGGCTGCGTGGGTGGCACCAAGAAATTAATTCCCACCCACCCGGCGTGGTGGGTGACTGCCCACCCCAGGAGCAACTGGGCAGCCGCCATGCAGCCTGAGTGGCGTCTGCCAGAGCTAGAGCCTGGGCCGTGGCACTAAAAATAGCACCATGGCCCAGCACCAGTCCCGGCACACTGGGCAGCTGCCTACTGCCTGGCCCAGGCCCTGGGAGCAGCTGGGGCCAGGATCGTGGAATGAAAAGTAGCACTGCAGTCCTGGCTTGAGTCCCGGCACACAGGGCAGCCGTCTGCCATGCTGCCCCGCCCACAGGTGCAGGTGTCAGGATGACAGAAGGTGAAGGAAGGGGCAGGGGAAGAACTAAGGGGAGGGGGTGAGGAGAGGAAGGGGCTTGTGGTGAGGGGAGGGAACCATGGCAGGAGAAGAAAGGGGAAGACACCCAGGGGCAGGGTGGAGAAGAGACAAATGCCAGGGGGCCAAGAGGAGACAATGAGGGGAAAGGGTGAGGGGGGAAAGGGGAGGGGAGAGGGTGATGCAGGGGACAGAGGAGAGGGGAGGGGCAATGGAGCAAGAGGGAGGAAGAGGAGAGGGTGCTGTGATAAGAGGGGTTGAAAGGAGGGTGGGCATGAGGAGGCAGGGGATGAAGCAAGTCACATGTGAGGACACAGAAGGGCTTGAGGAGAACTGGGGCAGAGGGTGCTGAGGGGGTGGGCACCAAAGAGGAAGAGGGCAAGGGGGGCAGGTGTTGGGAGGGCAGGGGCAGTGAGGGAAGGGGAGGCACCAGGAGGGCGCAGGGGTAAGGGAAGGTGCAGGTGCCAGGGGGATTGTGGGGGTGAAGCAGAAGGGCAGACACAGGGAGGGACGGGCACCCGAGGGCAGAGGAGAGAGGCAGGGCAGAGGGAGGTGTTGGGAGGGGATGGGAAGGGGGCTAGAGGAGGGGTGGGCACGGGGGGGAAGAGAAGGGCAGGTGCAGGGGTCAGAGAGGGCAGGGAGGGCTGAGGGGAGAGAGAAGGGCGGGAGCCAGGAGAGCAGAGGAGGTGAGGGGTGGGGGGCAGCAGGCACCAGGGGAGCAGACGGAGTGAACGCAGAACCAGGGGCAGGGCCGGCTTTGGAGGAAAGCCCAAGGGGAGACCCCAGACGTGTCCTTAGTGCGTGAGAGGAGACGTACGGCGGGGGTGCCCGCATTGTTTTCTC